CTCAAAGAGGTCTTTTTGGTATTGTTGGTCTGCAAATTGGGTGGATTTCCCATGAAAAGGTCAGTGATTGTTAGCATGTGCCTGACTACTATTGGGAACATCCAGCAAGGAATGCTCAGCCACTTGACTGCGCCTCTGCAAGAGAGCTTCACAAGAAACGTGGAATTTCGTGAAATCCGGTTATGGTCGTTTGTGCTAATGTGGTCGTTTGACCAAACATCTGCTTATAAAGAGTCGTTCAAGGATCCAGGTAGCCCAGCGGGGGTTTGCGGTTCTGATCCGGGGAATGACCGACCACATCATGGTTGTAAGACTGATATTAAGCACATCTATGTGCCAGGTGTTTTGCCTTTGCTTCCTTTGATCTCACTACAGGTCAAGCGATAAAGCTGACTAAACCGATTGCCACACCGCTTTCCAAGACAAAGCTTATGGGTGCTTGGTGGATTGGGGGGGCTCTCCTGCAGAAGCTTGCGTAAGTTAACAGCCGCATTTGTGTTTTGGGCGTTTTGGTGCCCATGATCCACACTTAGGGACTAAAAACCACCCCCTGGTGACTCCCGTAGAAATCATGCAGTCCCATGGGTGGTCCGGGAGCCCACCCAGCATCGTTTGCCAAGCATCGGCCGGCATCGTCGATGTTTCGACGAGCGCGCGGAAGAAGGCGACCCCTCGGGGCGCAGGGGTAGCGATCGGACGAAACTCACTGAAGTGGCTGTGGGTCATGGCACCAGGAGGGCAGGACCCAATTGCCTGGAAGGTCCTGTACATGGTGCTGAGATGTGCTGAGGCTCCTGTTCTTGACCCCCATCCCCAAGTGCTGAACCCACCAGGCCGCAGCAACCCCCTTGCACCGCCACGCTCGCGGCACCGGTTCGGCTCGTTCCGCCGAGCTGAGGAGACCGACTCGGAGGCGGAGTTTTGGAGGCCACTGGGCCGGCGAAAGCTCATGAGCCTCGGCATTGGGCTTAACAAAAATATGCACATGGGTTGGGTCTCTCCTACAACCTGGGCCCCAGTGGATGATGATGGTTAGGTTGCAGGCTTTGTTCAAAAAGATATCGTAATAATTAGTAATGTTTAAAGACAGATACAATGTATTAGTACTATGTATTAGTATTAATGTATTAGTAATGTAGGCTTTGTTCAAAGATAGTAATATAAATTTAATACTGACTGTTACAGGTCAGTTCGGACAGACCCAACACATGGGTGATCATGCTCAAGTGCTTCACATCGATTGCCGGTGGTTCGATCGAGTCTAGGACCTCGAGATGGGTAAACACGTTCCCTAGGGCTCCAAGTACCTTCTAAGAAGGTGTTTGAGGTGGGTGCCAGGAGGGTCCAGTCATACCGAACCTGAGGAGGTATGACTGGAGCCCTTTTTGGGTGTTTTTCACTTCACAAACGCTCGAGATCTCGCCCCCTGGTCGAAGCCATCCCGTTGCCCGAAGCGAGAAGGTTCGGGGATCGGCCTGGCTGGGTGGTCTCCCTCGTCTTGGAGCTGCGACGATCCATCGATCCATGGGACTGCCATGTCGGACTGCCGAGAAACGGCCAGGGGGGTCAATGGGGCGGCATATATGGCAGTTCCATGGAGTCTGGGATTGGTCCAATGAGTTTTCTCATGTTTATTCCCAGACACGATCTGTCTGGGACTGCCGATCAGGACTGCCGCCGAGAACACGGCCAGGGTGGTTGACTCGGGGTCTGTCTGGGGCGGCAGTCCTATGGCAGTCCCGTGGAGTGTTTGTTGATTTACCTTCTTTCCAGGGGTTCGACTAGTATTGGACACTCCTTGCAAATGGTGCCGGTTTTGGTAGAAAATGCTCAGAACATGCCGTGGTCCCTTTTAGGGCCCTGGGTGCACCACTCGGGTGCACGTCTGACCGTTGTTGTTGTCTTTATTGCATGGTGGCAGCACGGCCATATTTGTGTGCCTCCATACCTGGAGCGCATGCGAGCAATACATCGAGACCAATCCCCCAACAGTGTTGATTTCACCATGGCGGCAGCCCTATAAGTGTATGCGTCTGTGCTTGCGCCTTCACTGCTTGAGTGCAGTACCGTGGCACCCTGGCGTAAACGATCATTCTCATGTAATGATGCATTTCCTCCGATTTGCTTAATGGAACCGGAAAATAAGCCGACCCCGGCCTAGGCCGATGAACGTGAGCGTGAGCGGAGCGGGGCCGGCGTGTTCCTGTTGAAGGGCTCCGGTGTATTCACCAGAAAGGGGATTCACTCATATAGGAAACTTTTCAATCACCCGATCCGCAAGACTATAATATAAGTGGGGTCTATCCTATTACCTGTAACAGCGGATGATGATGGTTAGTAAAGGCCTTGTAAAACAAAACATGTGATAATTGTTCACTGACTGTTACAGGAAATAGGACAGACCCAACATATAAGTTTCATAAGTCTTGCAAATGTTTGAAGAAAGAACTCTCTGTAGCTCCTCGAGCTTTGGGGCCTTACCTCCTTCCTAGAAGGGACAAGTCTTACAATCGATGATATTGAAAACGCAAGTCATGAGACTCCCAGCTTCTTTTCTCTCTGACCACCAGCTCTTATAGTCATGTTCTTGCACTGTGCAGCCCGCAGCCAGGTGAGGGCCTCGCTGAGGTCCTCGCCCAGCAGCGCCCAAGGGTGGAAGGATTTCGTGACTTCGAGCTCCTGAGACCTGGGTGGCGGCGACAGTCACATGTCCCAGGTTTCTTTGAAGTAAACCTTTTTCAGGTGGTAGGGATATGGGGATGGAAGGCCATGATGATCCACATTACACATTGAGGTAGGGATATACGGAAATTCGCAGGGCCCTGCTTAGACCCTGGAAGTAGCATGTCGGGGTGGTCTACGATGTCGCTGAAGTACACTATCGCTTTTCAAGTGGTGGGGATAAGGTAGGGATGGGAAGCCACTCCAAGTCATACTGATGGACATGTCTATGTTTTTCTAATACAGTGACCTTTTTTTTCGAGCCATAGTTATACTGATGGAAAAGGCGATTCCAAGTCATGCTGATGGAAATTGTCTTTTTCCTACCAATGTCTCTGTCAACATGCCTTCTTGATCTACAAGCACAGGGGGCACCTTTCTATTCCCACACGAAGGCTCTTCGAATGCCTGGTATGCCGAATGCATGTTTTTCTGAATGAAAGTCTTGGCAATGACATGTCTAGGCATCTTCCCCATCTTCCCGTGCACCATTCGGTCCAGAATTCCTTTTACCTCCTCCCAGGAAAACTTCAGGACCTATAAGCAGGACTAGCGCGACAAGAAACTCTGGCCAAATGACTTCATATACCTTCACCACCTCTCACTGACCCAGCCAATACAACAACTACATACATCTACCCAAGAGCAAAATAGCGTGACCATCAGCAACGATAACACATACAGCAACAACGAAGTAGCCATGCCACCACTCATGACACCGATGACCCTTTTCCACCCAGTTCCCCGCCGCCCGGTTCCCCTCCCCGTCTGCCGTCTGACGCCCGAGGCACTGCCGCCAGGAAGTGGGCACCGTCGGTCTCGAAAGTTTGGGGGGTCCTGGAAGACATGTGTTTCTTGCAGCTTCGGGGAGAGGTCTTTTGCAGCTTCCGCGCCAGATGCCAGATGTGGATGTGTATAGATGTCGTGATCCATTATAGATCTATATCCCCGACACGACACATGGGACTACCATATATGCCGATCAGTTGGGGTGGTGCCAGGGGGGTCTGTCTGGGGCGGCAGTCCTATGGCAGTCCCATGTGTCGTGTCTGGGATATATGATGTTTTGGATCTATAATGATACGATTCCCGGTTCAAGAGACCTGAACACCAGAGATGAACACTGATTCAAAGACCAGGTGAGATGTCAGTTGAATAGCCAAGAAGGTGAGATGTGATCTTCTGTTCTTGGGGACTCCGACTCCAACTCTGCTCCAACTCCAACTGAGAACAGGTTAGAGACGTGGAGAGCTTTTCTTGCATCCCATGATGCACCACAGACCAGGACCTTCAAGAGGTGTCTATAAATAGCCTCTTAGTGGTTAAGGGATGTCCAGAGACCACCTGCCAAGGTTGAAGGACCCGAACGTTCGCCTATCCCATAAGTAAGGTCCTAGTTCACTGGCTACCTCTCTTGGTGTTGGAAGGTGCTGGTCCAGGGTCCAAGCTTCAGGTTGCTCTGCACCTCTCTTTTCTCGGCCATACCGTTGGCCCGCCTCATCGGACCCCATTCAGTCGCTGTGTCAGTCAACGACTCGTTTTCTCATGGTGCAGGCTTCACGTCGTTTCTATCTATGTGGGGACCACTACCAGGCCCCCAAGACCCCAAAGGGCTGTTGTTTGGACCCCAAGGGGTGGCGTACACCAACCACGCCGCATTCTTCCAGGCTGTTTCCATCTGTGCCTCGGTGCCTGTCAGGCGCCCCGCGCCTCCGCCCGCGGTGGGGTTGGGCTCCTGGACCCGGTTGGAGGAAGGAACCCCGGTGAAGACGATTCAACCAGGTCTGAGGACTCACCCACCAAGAGAGGTTAAGTGACCTTATAGGACCCTACTGGAGTACCTATGGGATAGTCTACAGGGTCCTTCAACCTCTGTTGGCACCAACAGCCATGAAATCGCCGGTGTTTTTCACCCAGGGGAGGTCGGTCCCGTGATGGGGAAAAACACCACATGCTCTAGAGTGGTGTTGATGGGGCCGGCCTGGTGAGCGGGTTTGGGAGAATGTCAGCGGTTCAACACATTATATATATATATCACATAACTCATTAAATGCATATATGTGCATAAATTGTATATAAATGTGTATAGTCTATTCATATGGCCAGGGAGGTCCATCAGCAAAAGTGAAGAGGACCTGCAAACTGTTGCAGGGACCAATCCAACGCAGTCTTCCAGCCACCTCGGTGGAATGAGTAGGGGGATTCTGAAGCAAACATGGTTGATCTGAGGGGCACGAGAGCGGAGTACCTTCTTACGCCACCTTTCATGCTGTTTTGTCGGCGTCACGAGTCATGAGCACATGAGCCAAGCTAGGCACGATCATCAAGCTCGAAACCAGTGATACGATGTGCACAGCTCAGGTCGAAGGAAACTCTTGAGTTTCAATGTTCCTTCCTCTCAACGTCTGGATTGGAGTCATTTTCGCCCTCTCTCGTGCCCTCCTTCAGATTCCGAGAGCTGAGATTCTGGCCTTCGTGGCTGACGCGCTCTCGCTTTCTGACCCCAAAGGCTCGCCAACCAGCTCGAAGCTGCTCGTCACCGAGGAAGCTTCCAGGCTCCGAGCTCGTGCCAGGCTCCGAGCTCGTGCTGGGTCCACATCCGCACAGCTCTTCATTCCGAAGTGTCCAGTGAGCCATGAGCAGGTGCCGCAGTGCGGGAAAGTGCCTGGAAAGAGCCTGACTATACACTTCCTGAGGTAATGGAGGTGGATGGCATGGCTCCAAAAGGAACGCAATTGTCCGAAACAAGTGGTTCTCCACTTCCGTGTTGGTGATTCGGACTGCAGGCGCAAAGAGCGCCTGACCAACTGCAGGCTGCACCACATCTCAAAGACACCTCTCGTGCACCAAAGTGGGGCCAATCTCCCAGTACTCCTTAGATTGAAATCAAGAAACCTGGTTGTGCCACCTCCTCTGGACTCCCAAATTCTGATCATGTTTGTCTGCAAGAATCGCCATAAAGATCCACAAAGTAAACATGTGAGAACAAAAACACAGAAAAAACACATGGTGCTGCAGCAATTCTTCAGGATTCCTCACTTGACATCCACATCTTCCGCATGTTCCAGATCGCTAAGGCCACCATCACTCCACCCCGCACGGCGCTTCGGTCACGTTCCGCCAGTGCCACCACGGAAACGGAGCTCGTCTGCGCCAGTGCACCAAGCTCGGAGCACAAGCGCTGGGGAAAGCCCGGGAATAAAGTGCTTCCACCGGAAAGAACCACCTTACTTCAACAAGAAGTCCGTTCTCCACTGCCATGGAACGGGAGTCAGAGCCCTAGACTTCCAAGCACCATTGATTTAGTAGCCTGAATCCCGAGCAACCATTGTTTACTAAGGGCTTTACACTACAAAACCAGGTCAGTGTTTTTTGATGGTCTTGGAAGCCCAATGGCATGGTTTGAGCATCCCTTAGTGAACATCCAAACAAGGCACACGACTGCCCATAAGGCCAGGAGTGGTTTGAGCACTTAGGGCAGGAGGGGTAAGGAGGCCTAGAGGTTTGGTGTGCCATCGGATTTATGGCGCAACTACACTCTGACTCACGAGTCCACATGGAAGTGGATGATATGGCAACTAGGGAGGTTCTCCGCTTCCATGGAACCTGAGTCACAATGGAGTTTTTTTGCACTGAAGGTGACTCGCTGCTCTCGTGTTCTACGCGGAAAGAAGCGAAGGGTTGCACTCAGTGACAAGACGGAATCCTCCCACGCTGCGGATTAAATCACCCGTTGCCAAGGTGGTGAATTTATGTCCACTATACCCTCAACAGTACCCTCAACATTGCTGGGATTTGTGCCAGGAAGGTTTTGTATTTAAGTCCTATTGGAATTGGAAGACTGCACCCCGAGGAAAAACACATGCAGCAATCCAGGAACAGCAAAAATAGACTTGGTTGGGGGGCACTCTAAAATATCACAAACCGGAAGCGTACAGCATCCACTGAGATGAGCCACATTGGCCAAAAGCTCCTGCAGAGTGGATTGATCACAAGGATCTGACCATGACATCGACTGCTGAGAGGATCTCTGTATCGCCAACCAACCCTGTCACCTCCTGGTGATCTATCTCGTTCATGACCTGAAGCCTGTTTTGAAGCTGCCTTGTCTGGCTGTTCTGCGTCTGCATCGTGCACCATCCTTCATAACTAGCCTCTAAAAGGAAACCCAAAGAACTAGTCCATCCATGTCCATCCTAGGAGTTGCGAGGCCAGGGCCAGGGGTGCCCACTCTCCACTTGGATGGGACAGAAAAACATCCATAGGAACTAGGTACACGGCTGATAGACCGCCGTGGTGTAAATCAACTTGAGAGGAGGGAGACACGAAAGGTAGGACAGCGGGAAGAGAAGAGAACACGAGAGGCAGGAACAAAAATGCAATGTTCGACATGGTGATTTATCCCCTCGGAGGCGACCTTTCGTACATATATGTTCATATGCACTTTAAATGTTCAAACATGTGCTCTCGAAATGTTCAAAAAGATTCTTAGGAAAACAAACTTGCCCCATGGCTCAGATCATCGGTGAGCATTGAATCGGAACATCATAGGATTTGAACTATCCTGAAACCATAAGAGGCTCACGAAGACGCTCCCCAGGAGAGAATTGACGCGCTTCACAGAACACCTTTCGTGATTAGAATTTCATATTCACTCTTTCTGAATGTTCAAGAGGGTTTCAACTATCCTGAAATCATGAGAGGCTCACGAAGACGATCTCCAGGAGAGAATTGATTTTAGAGGGGGGGGGGACGGAGGTGTTGGAAAGGCGTGGCGCGAGCAGGAAGGGGTGGGGGGGGGTCTGAATTGAGCGATCAATTATTAGACCCGGACGTCCCAACACTTGCTTCGCAAGACAAACTCAAGGTATCCCCTAAAGGGCTACCTTTCGTGATGATGGTCGTGGGTTAATCATGGGTGGGGTGGGGGTGGGTGGGGCATGTTAACGTTCAGTTGCACTTGCTGCATGAAGTTGATGCATGAAGTTGATGCTCTTGAGTTTTGCATTCAGCGTTTAATACCCGCAGCGTGCCGCAGTACGTGTACATGTGGGCTTGGCACCAAAGCTTGACCTATGCCACACCGGCTCAGTTCTTTCCGACGGCCCAATTAGTTACGTAGTTTCGAAAATGAATCGAAATCAGCATTTCGCCTCAGCGAAACTCTCGTTTCAAGCAAATCTGCTTGGAATTGACCATGATTCCACTGATGAAACGTTGGGCACATCATTCCTAATGGAATTATGGACATTTCGATCGGTCCAAAGGTTCAGGTCTCAGAAAAGCCTCCCGAGTCGACCATTCTTAAACTGGCTCATGTGCATGGTTTTGTAGTATAACGCCCTTATAATAAAACAATCCCAGACGCTTCAAGGGACTGCCATATATGCCTACATTGACCCCCAAAACACGTAGCATCAACTTCATGCAGCAAGTGCAACCGAACGTTAACATGCCCCACCCCACCCCACCCCACCCCCCACCCCATTTCCACACGTAGCATCCACATCCCCCTCAAGCAAACATGCCAAAACGACAGCGTAGAAAACGAAAAATCAAGAAAAATGCAAGAAAACAACACGGCCGTCTATCAGCCGTGGGCCAACTACACTCCCGAAAACTCACATAGACCTTGACCATGGTCCATGGAAGACTATTTTCCTCTACCAACCAGGGGTTTTCAGGTTCCATGTTAGTCTTCCAGAATGTACTGGTCAGTGCACCACTGGTCAGTTCTCCTGCCGAATGTCCACATCTGCCATTGTGATCGATCTCCACAGCAAGCTTGGAAGCCCATGGTCCTTCTCAAAGAGTCGCTCGGTGCAACGCACGCGCATGGAAGAGCGCAACACCAGTATGGTGCCATCTGGCATCTGATACAAAGCCTCCTCGCTCGTGCAGCCGGGCCCTGCTGGGTCTGGGGCAACACAACCTTGGAACAAAAGCGAGGGTGTTTCCACGGACACTGAGGGCTCCAAACAACCTTTGTGGATAAGGTGAGAAATATCGAACTCAAACAACTCTAGCACCTTCATTACTGTATTTGTGCTCCTTTCATCTCTTTTCCTGAAGGCAAGTCACAAAGCTGCTCTAAACTTCGGAAAGTCACAAAGCTGCTCTTTCACAAGTTGCAAGATCTCTCGTTCGTCCAGGCTAGGGAAGGAATACCCCTCCTGCTGCAACATCTCCTGACTACTCCAAGTGGTGAAAAGTGTGAACTGGAAAACAAGAACAACTGAAAAATAGTTAGCATCACCAAAGTAAAGGGAAGTCCGAACTTCGGTCATCTGAGGACTTTTTTGGAAATGGAAACTGATCATTGTCAAACCCTGCCATTACTACAGCATCTTCTATCCGCATGCCTTGCAAGATGTCCACAGCAAATCGGGTCCAGTTCCTTGCGCTCTTTTGTTCTCGCTATGACATCACTCACACTTCATCCAACATCACCATCAGAAAGTATGTGTGGAAAACTCTGAAGTACCCGTACCCTACCAATTAATTATAGGAGGCTACCACTGAGGCTACTCACCTGCTTGGCCTTTCGTGTCAGCCGTCCAAGTCTCAATCAGCTCTTTGGTCAGCGCCTTACCAGCCAGCTCCGACTTTTGGATTGCATAGGTGACCTCGACCCACCATTGATCGATTGGATGCGCATTCTTGCCGCCAAAATGGTCACAACGGCACGACAAAACCAATGACATAAATAAGGAATGGGGCGCCAAATTCAAGGCTCTGTCCTCATGAGATCTCATGAAAAAGATCTCAACACCATCCTGATCCTTAAGGACTCCAAAGCAAATTCAAGAGAGGTTAAGTCATAGGACCCATCACCTGAAGTACCAGACTGGGATAGTCTTGTAGGCCTGTAGGGCTCTTCAACCTCTCACGGTGAATCCCCCCGCCCGGCTTCACCGAGAAAGCACTCCATCCACCTCACCCTTCGAACGACTCCAGGCACACAAATGCCCTCGTAGATGGGAATTGCCCAGGTCGCGCTGTGGCCCGAGTCCAGCACCAAACCCGTGGTGCGTCCCGAGGAGTAGAGCGACCAAACGGCACCTGGGCAGGCAGCATGAGGTGGCCTGCCTGTCCGCGTGTAAAAGAGGGTTTGTTTCTTTAAGTTTTTAACATCCCCCCTATGGCAGGTTCCAGTGTTCTTGTTTACATGCATACCCTAGACTTCCAAGTCCATCAACACAAATGGTTGACCTGGTGGTTTTGCAGTGCAGAATGCTAAGCAATGGTTGTTCGGTAAAACGGTAAAGCCCATCAAGTAGGTGGTGGTTGGAATCCTAGGGCATAGGTAACCAAGTTCAAGGCTTCTAGACAGGCCAACGTTTTCGGGATCCAAGGGCTTCCGTGATTACATCAGAGAGTGTAGGTAGGTTTGAAGGATGCAGGGCACATGCGGAAGATCCACGCAAGGCATTGCTATACCTAGACACTCCGTGGGACTGCCATATATGCCGCCCGATTGACCCCCAAAACCACCCCAATGTAGGCATGTATGGCATACATGGAGTGTCTGGGATAAACATTATTGTTTGCTTTGTAACGATGGTCTCTTCCGAAAATGAGTGCACCAGAATCTCCAGAAGCATTCAGAAGTCACATGTCTCATTGGTCCTCTTTAATGTGCCGAATATGGCCAAATCAACTCACTAAGTCACAAAATATACTCCAGCAAATGTCCAGCATGGAAACCCAGTGGGCTTCGGGTTTGCAGACTTGTGAACGTGGGCCAATTCTTTTTTCAAATGTGACCTACGAAGTGCCCCACGGAGCAGCCTCTGCCGCTGACCCCCCACCGCTTTGGTCGGAGGCGCCGGTGGCCATGTACATGGCTGGTACATTGAAGGTTTCCTTGGATTTCGTCCGGCTGAGGAAACCTACCCCTCAGTTTCCCTTAAAGATGAAGGTTAACAATTTTCCACATACCAGGACCTTCAGTACGTGACCTTTTTGGAGTCTTTAAGTGACCTCTTTAGGGACGCTTCGTGACCTCAGCCACTGGGATCTCAAGGCTGGTCACGTACTGAAGGTCCTGGTTCATAATTGCTGCGACTAGTAGGGTCCAACAGAGGTTAAGTGACCTTATAAGAACCTTCAGGGGTACCTTATAAACGGTGAAGCCCATCCCCCCCAAACCGGGACAGGGCAGGTGATCCACCGATGCAGGGAGTGCTACGGACACCAACCGGCGTGGCACCACGACCCTGTCCCGGACAGAAACACAACAAGGAGTGTCACTGTGACTCAGATGGTTCAGTGGAGTTCAGCACCTGCTCCTCACCCCTAGGGCTGTCGTCCTCCGGTCCCCTCCAAGGGGTGTCCAATGAACTACCCCACACTACCAATAGGCTTCCATTGGGCACCCCTTGGAGGGTCCTGGTACATTGCAAATCTTTTGGGGATGAAATGAAGATCAGTGTTGGCACTGAGGTTATGCCAAACACATACGCTGGGGTGAACACCATGTGATAAAAGTATCATACTGATGCGTTCATGCAACTTCCGGGTGTTCTTCTGACTAACTTGAGGCCGAGGGTAGGTGACGAAAGCTAGCAGGGGTGCATCCGGACTGGTGGG